GGGGGGGTCTATCCAGGTTTTTTGTCCCCCTGAGGGTTTTGCCCCCCCCCCCCCCCCCCCCCCCCCGGCCCCCCACCGTTCATGAGGTCCCCCCCCCCCCGTTGGTAATGTGAGAGCCTGGTCAGGTGAGAACCCGGCGTGCTCCTTCCCAGCTTTAGTGCGAAGTCAATGATCTAAAGACTACGGCAATGCATAGCTGTGGGTACACACACCTACCGTTCAGCCGCCTCCCCTTTACGCCTGCCGATGGAGAGGAGGAGGGGAAGATGCGGTAGCTTGCCGCCATGGCGATAATCAGTTCATGAATCGTCAAATTCTCAATTGCCACGTACTTTGACGAGACAATCGTGGGAAATTCATGGACAAAATTGGATCCTACTGTGGTTGTGTGTAGTTGGTTGCGCTTGACGCATCCGTACACTAAATAGGGGACATCGGACGACCTTTTGTCCTAAGAAACCACACATGACCAACCAAGCTCGGAACGAATGCACAGGGCTCACATCAGATGCCACCAAGCCTTGTGTCCAAGACAAACGTAAATCCCAGCGAGCATCCCGAAAGTGTATGTCCCGATCCATTGACGTGCGCGTATGACTAGCAACAACGATTTCAGTGTCGCCCCCCTTTGCGCTCCCGTCTTCTCGTACCCGCGCCCTTACCCGTGCCCCTGTCCCCACCGCGGCGACTGGCATAGATTGTGGGGTGGCCCGGGCCTGTGCTTCCGTACATAAGCAACGTCCTGGTTCACCGCAACGCCCGACGGCAAGGCTTGGCCAACAGGCTGATGCTGCGGTGCGAGAAGCAGGCGCGAGATTGGGGGTTCACGCAGGCACGTCCTTATAAAGTGGTAGCTCTCTGTGTGTGTATGTCGAGTTCCGAGGAGTTTTGTCCAGGGGTTTACGCCAAGCAGAACGCAATGTCCCACGCAGTCATCCGCTCGTACTCTCGCAAGGGTCCCCGCCACTGGTGCCGGGCTTGGTGTCTTCTTGCTCTCTGTCATGCCTTGTGTTTTACGGCCCGCTCTGGTACCACGCGCTTGTTTGTGGTGACATTTGGTGCTCTGCGGAGGCACTGCCTTGCGTCGAAGGAGAAACTTCCGGTATTTGCCTGGAACGTGATTGTTATTATCCGTATGACAAGGAGGCTTGCGAAGGCTTTCGTACACCTGGCTCTGAATGTGTCTGTATCGTCCCTCGTCTGGAAACGAGCTGCCGAGTTGACTGGCGCCACAGCAACGCCGTTGTTATTTGTAGCTTGGTTTTTCTTTTTAACACCATTTCCCGTACTTCCGTCTTTTTTTATGCTGGATGTTGCCGTGCAACCGCCTCCGCGCTGGATTGCTTCACTTGCCACATGCAGGTGTACTTGCATGTCGACTTGACGTACTACCCCGCCGTGCGGATGTATGAGACGATGGGGTACGAGGTCGTCAGCGACCTCGAGGTGTCCTTCGAGGTGAGGCTGGCGTGCGTTGTTGTTGTGGTTGGTGGATGTTGCTGCTGCTGCTGCTGTTGGCAGTGTCTTTGGTTCAGAAACCGGTACCTTGATAGCATTGATACTGATCTCACAGAGGAAAAGAAAAAGAAAGTTTGTTGTCGAAGACCGAATGCACTGACGTTTATCGTGAACGAAAGAATTCGGAACACCTCCCACATGTACGTATTTTTTGGGTTCTTGTTGTGCCGCCCCGGAGACGGGTTGGTTCGGGTGCCTTGGTTTAGCTTCCTGGTGTCCCATAACGAGAAAGGTCTCAAAGGCGTTCTCATTCTGCTCCCTCGCTGCTCCTGGAGCAAGAGTTTGATAGGCGCCTGCCAGCTGAACACGAGGGCGTGAGAGGAAAATGCAGCAGTGCGTAGCACGTAGCCTGCTGTGGAGCGTCACGCGGGTAGGAGGTCAGCAGCTAGCTATGTCGAAGTTCGAATCATACCTAGCAAACACGATCGTAGTTTTTCTACGAGGGCCGGATGATGAGGAGTACGCTCGGCTGGAGCATCTGGCCGAGCAGCTGCGGAGAAAGAAAGTATGCTATGTGGTGGCGGCGTAGCCTAAATAATGGCACAACGGGAGGAAGAGACCCCGAACAAATCTGCAGGAACACAACGCGAACTGTCCTACAGAAATTGTACTCACGCGATTCGTTTACCCCGCCGCCTTGTTGCTTGCGTCGATGCATTTGAACGTGTCCTTCCGCAGAACCCGCGCCTGCGGTACATGAAGAAGATATTGTAGCACACGCGCGCTTGCATCGGCTCGTGGGTGGTTTCTTTAGAGGGTAGAGTCCGGGTGATCGATGCAATGAGGCAAAAATAAAGCGTTTCGGTGTATTTAGCGATGGGTCCGATTAACGGTGTGGTGGTTAATGTGTGCTCCCTTTCGTTTACGGACCGCAAGCTCTGGCTGATGGCAAAATGCTGTTTCTACTTCTTTTTTTTTTGCAGCCGCCAGGGGTACAACACCGGTTTGCTTCACGCGAAACCACTCTCACTCGCATGTGTTCTGTGTTCTGTGTGTTTCAGCAAAAGTACGGGGCCGCAGAATAAGCGCGCCCATGAAGAAGGTAGTTATCATCAGTAGATCTTTTTTACGAATGGCGTGGCCCGCGAAAGCGTCAGTTGTCTTGGTGCTGGGATTGTTTGCAGGAGGATAGCAAGAGGATACCCCGGTGTGCGCGTAATGGCCGTGGGTTACCTCTTGAGAGGCTTACGCGTGGGGAGTTGCGCGTGGGACGAGAGTAGTTCGTCGATGGTGGGCGTTTGATTCGATGAGCGGGGGGGCTTCGATGGATTCGGATTTTGGTTCAATGTTACCAAGCAGATGGAGATGGATGGCTAGACCTGTCAACCATTATGTGTTGCGTGCCCACGATAGAGGCATGATAGGGCTCGCACTGAGGAATTCCTTGACCCCCCCTACTGCATCGCGCATGGAGGGAGGAAAACGTTTTGGTAGAAAGGTGGTACTGTATTTATCCCTTATTTGGCGAAGGCACATGTATGGCGGTGCGTGCTCGCCAGCGCAGTTCGTTGTTTATATCGCTTCGTGTTGAGTTGGAGGTAAAAATGGGACACTGCTGTTGCTGTTGGTGGATCGACAAGCAAGGCCATCATCGTTGTCGTCGCTGCCTGGATGCTCTTGACCGGCAGAGCGTTTCGCTGATTCCATAGCCAAGAGTAAAAAAAATATACCACGAATTTTCGCGCGAATCGACTTGCGGTTGTACCGTCTTTTTTGTTTCCTACCGCTTGTTGTGTGTACCTCCAAGGAGAGGGAGGCTGTTGCGGCACCAGGCCCCCTCTGCATGTCATGGGCAGGTTGGTCTTGGAAAGCGTCCCACGTACTACGCAGAGAGCACGCACAAGACGTGTGTTGTAAGGTCAGAGGGAGAAGACGCAGCTCTAGATATTGTAGAGTGAACCCCCGGCAAACCAAACCGGTTGAGCGATAGCATCACATGCGTCCCGGTTGTTTTCTTTGTTTGGTGCCTACACGCGGCACGGAAGGCCGGAAACTTGTCCAACTTGAGCTACAGAGTAGTAACTCGCTTCCCGGTGTGGTGCTTAAAAACATGTCTTCTGACAACGCGCCTGCCTGCGCCCTTATCCGTAGAGTCGGCAAGTACCCCCCCGACTAATTCGGTCGTCGTCTTCGGTGGCTCTAACTACTGTACTGCTGTCCCTGCTCTTCGTCTAGGTTACCGTCTTTGTGGCAAGGTTTCCGTTTCTCTTTGCAGTACGTATCACACTGTACTTGACGCACAGCAAGGGCGGCGAGCCCTTTCGAGATTCTGTACAATAGTTAGTACTCAAGAGGAATGCCCACGTTGCTACCGGTATAGAACCCTGCAAGTTTTAAAAAGCTTAGTCTCAACCTGGCGATACTCATTCATTAGATGAACTAAATGAACACGGGTGGCATGCTGTGCCTAGTCAACAGCGCAGATCTCACACTTAAAGGACACACCAGCCCAGGAGAGAGCCAAATCATGACCATTCGGCGTTCCTGCACGTTCCTTCTCTCACCTGTCCGCCGATTAGAACTTGTGGTGTCAGAAACTCTTTTAGGTGGTGTGGTAATTTACATCTGCTCTTTGCCCGATCGCTCTCGCCAAATGCTTGCTCAACGAGCTCAGCATATGGGAAGGCGTCGTTTGTACTTGGACTGGGGTGTACATTAACGAACGATCGAGTCGTCAGCTCAATGGTTTGCATCTTTCGACATCGGGGCAGTGACACTGACCTCCCGCAGGGGACGCGCACTACAGTATTCATTTCGTGGAATGCCGTATTTCGAAGTACTCTTGAGCGAAACGCCTACAAAAAAATTGAAAATTTGCGTACAACACATGGTACGTGCGTTTAGGCATCACAACCACAACCTTATCTACTTTGCCACCATGGCATGAAGAGGGGAGAGGCAAACGGACGCCGTCCAACCCGGTACGGCCGCCTCTCTATAGACTATCTGCGACCCCCCCGAAGGAGTAGCACCACACCACCTTACCAACACACCCGCGACACGTTGGTAGACCGTTTTCAGCATCAACACGAACAAATACTATCTACCACTTTGGCACCCATTCCCTTGCCAGCACAATTACGCATACATGCAACCTCAACAACGACTTGAGGCCACCACAAGCAGCGCGCAGCTATGCCACCCCGCTCTTCCACCTATGTACTCCGGAGTATCATTTATCACACTATCACCCCGAGGTACGTTTAACGGGTCCGGGTATGTAATGCGTACAGTCGACGCTAGACATCACATGCATGGATGCAGACATCCGCTGACAGGGCTGCATTGTAACCACCACCACGTGTGTTTGGGACACTGTCTGTAACTGCGTTTTTTTGGCTGTTTATTCGTGCCACGGGAAGACACTGGAGCAACACACTCTAAACTACCAGGTATTTACCATGCTAACTTACCCCACCCACGTCAAAGTACCACCATAGACAAGCATGCGCAAAGAGGTCCTCACGAACATACACGACTTCCACGGCCGATGGGTGCTCCTAACGATCAGGCAGACGGCCGGTCACCCACAACGGACAAGCAAGACACGGAGCGTTTCCCAACTATCTTCAGACTTGAATGACACCCGAGTAACAATCGGTTGCGTGCATGTAGTGAAGCATTTATTTACTGAACAGGATCGAAATGTGTTTCCACGTACGTGCGCCACGAGTACGCAAAACACTTCAACACCAAGGACACAGATCTGAGCCTTTGTAGCATGTAGCACTCAAGCTCTCTCCTTTAGACTACACCAGCAGCTCTCGCTGTCGCGCGGCAACGAGGCCCTCCAGCAGGCCGAGTTCCTCCTTGCTCATGTCTTTTACCGTCATGGCCAGCGTTTCCAGGCAAGGCTTGATCTTGGGCCGAGGTTCTGAACGGAGGCGCCGGCGACGAGCGGGACCGGGTCTGTCGTAACCGTGCTGATGATGAGCGCGCGGGGTATGTGAAACAAGCCTCTACACAGTTCTTTAGACATGGCATTACGAAATCATCGTGGCGTCGACGGCTCTAGTTCCCCTCAGGGGGGTAAAAGCCTGACCGAGGCTACTGACGAGCGACAATTGGTGGACTATCGCCCGCCGATACCCTGTATGGGCAAGGAATGCAGCTGCTACTCCCAGTTATGCGTACGTACAGGTGGACAATCAGCCGCGCCGCCAATGAATGGGAGGAAAGCCACCATGCTGTTCTTTATGCGGCGCAATACTCTCGACGTTTCTTGCGAGGCCGTCAACGGACACCTGCTACGCGTTCTTGGATCGGAGTCCTCGACTCGGAGCTCTTGCGTTGAAAGGTGAGGTAGGTGGGTATGAATTATCTTCCACCCCCCCCCCCCCCCCCCCCCAAAAAAA